TGAACACACTTATTCCATCATTGATGCCATTCTCTGAAGCACTGTTTGGTAAGTTCCCAGACAAGGACAGTGCCTTAGCACATGCTCTATCATATGTTTGCTGCAGTCACCATCACAAGTTCCTCCACATACAGCACTGAGAGGGGTGTGTGTAAAATACATGTGGAGTCCTCCAGGCTGAACTTCTGTGTAGCTGAAGGTCTGTTTTAAAGTTCGCAAAGACATTTTCTAAGACTTCTCCTCACCCTGTTCAATGAAGCAGGCTTCTACTTGAACTGATCCACTATTTCATTTGTTAGTCAATTAAACACAACAATGGAGCACCTATTATAAATGCAGAGATATTTAAAACAAACATTAGAAATTGGATTGGCAGGAAAAACAAGATAAATATAGGAGAAGAAGAAAATAAATCTAAAATCTCTTTAAGTTAAAAAGAAAACCTAAATGTATCGAACATCTTTTGTATGTTCCTGACAATATACTATGACTTGAGTAAAGAAAGATAAGACATGGGCCCTTTCTTGAGAACTTCATACAAAGAATTTTCCATTTAGTGTAGGAAATGCATTTTGTATAAATAATTATATTGCCAAGGCCTACACATGTAGGCAGTTGGGAGGTCTCAGTGGAAGTAACTCTCAGGCAGGTATGAGAAGGTTGCTTGCAGGAAGTCATATAGAGGTGAAGGTTTGGGGGATGCTGAAAAATTCATGGGTGCATTAGAGATCCTGGGGCTTCTAAAAGTAGCAGCAGTTGCATTGCTGGGCCAAAGACAGCAAGATCAGCTCTTAGGCCCTGCAACATACAGCTGATTTCAGTGGTGCTGAAAGTCTAGAATCACTCTTGAGAAATCTTAAGAAGAAAAGAGCATCAAAGTGTTATTTTAAAAAGATCAATATTGAAAGTAGAGCAGCAGGTTAAGAAGAATGACCCTGGAATTGGGGAGTCAGTGAAGACATTTCTCTAGTTCATGTAAGAAATAGTTGGCTCTGGACTAAGTTGGTTTTGGGGTGGAGAGGACAGAAAGTGTAACTGATAAACATGCATCAAGCATTTCTCCTACTTCCCCCACTCATCTCTACTTAAAAATAATAGTGGTTCTCATACACAGCCCTTCACTGTACATTTCATTCTTTTAAACTTCCCAACATTCCAACAGGGTATCTTCAGTACCCACTTTCTTTTGTGGAAAGGAAAATTGAGATATAACTGAGTGGAGTCAAGCTTCAAGGACACTCCATAGAGAGGGGTAAAGCCAGATATCAAGGTCAGGCAAGTTGCCCCTATCTGTGCTCTTCCACAAACAGGAAGTGAAACTATCACTCCAACTAAACCTAAAACCATACGGCTTGCACGGTCCAAAGGGGAGGGTTTTTTTTTAGATTTTTCCTCCAAAATGTAGTGTGTGGAGTCTGAAAGCTTTTCATGACAGTTGCTTCTTGCTGCCACAGGATGTCACCACTGAAAACCTCCCTCCCAAAAGAAGAACTGCTGGTCCCTCTGCAGAGATTCCAAGGCCCAGTGAGTCTACAAGGGAGGGAGAGAGGGCAAGCTCATCCCATACACCACAGCTGGACCTGACCAGAGCACAGATCATCTGATGGATGGTACCCTATACAGTGCCTCTGGCTGTCATCTCCCAGCTTCACTTGTGCTCTGGGATTAGGTCAGGTTGCTGTGCTCCAATGTTCTCCCATCCTGACTGTCACTGTTCACCTTAAAACATAAGGTGAAGGTGACACCTCTTTTTCTAGGAACATTTTGGTTTCTTGATGAACTAGATAACAAAGTCTCTCATGGGGCCTCTGTCATAAATGAGTTTAAAAGCTGTTCATGTGGGGTGGAACAGGCAGAGTTGCTATTTAATTAGATGTTCTGAGATGAGGGGAAGAAGGGAGGGGAGGAAGAAAGGGAGAAGAGAGAGAGAGAGACACACACAGAGAGACATGCAGAGAGACAGAGAGACACAGAAACAGAGAGAGACAGAGCAACAAAAAGAGAGACTAAGAAGGCTGGGATCATGATATATTTCTGGCTCTTAGGTTTTTATAAGGGAAGAAGACAACAGTAGAATGTTATTTTTGCTGTCAGTCAGTTCTACTAGGCCCATCCTAGGTGCTTTTCCTTCTCAACTTTAGCAGCACCTGGTTGCTTTTGGCTCCACTGTACAGCCCTGGCAAAGTTCCAAATAGGGGTGGGGTGTTACATGGGGCCTGTGTATAAGGAGAGATGGGATCAGGGGTCTCTGGGTCTCGAGGCCCTTTCTCAGGTAGAAGGGCCTTGCTTGTCATACAGATTCACCCACAAACAGAGTTAGAAGAGGAAGATGTCACAGTATAATTCATAGTACTATTTTGCCACACAGAGAACTTGGGTTGGGAATAGGTTTCAGACAATCCATTTGGGACAGCTGAATGTTGTATTGGAGGTTGTCCCAAAATTCACTGAAATTCTAGTCACAAATTTACATGTCTCTGTGTGTATAATGTGTACATATATGCATCTGTTATGTCTTGTGTCTAGAGGTCCGCCCACAGCCTCATGCAGTCAAAGATGGGGCTTCTTGGAGGTGGCTGGATATAGGGTGTATGCTACTGGGATCAAGGGTGTGATGCTAGGACTGATTCTTGGTGTGATGCTAGGATTATGGTTGCTCCACCTTGGGTGTGAGTGCTATCTGCCCTGAGGATGAGTAGTCTACATAAGATATAAGGGACAGAAAGAGGGTTGCTGCTCTTCACTTGGAGCTTGCTGCTTGCTGTCTTTCGCCTTCTGCCTGCCATGAACTGTTTCTCCTCAGAGATTTCTCCCTGCCTTGGAGCCAGCCCATTATGAACTGAAACCTCTACAAACTGTCAGCCAAATGAACCTTTCCTCCATTAACTTTGAGTACTTTGTCTCAGCAATGAGAAAAGTAACCAAGACAGAATATTTTTTCCAAATTGAACTAAAAAGTGTCTTATGGAAGTGTACATTGAAAGCTTCATTTTGACCCCAAACTTGTTCTCTTATCCTCCCCTAGCTAATAGTCATTTCTCCAAGTTTCTTACATAGTCTTATACCATACTTCTATGCCAGTGCAAGCAAATGTAAATTAACATGAATCATTATGTCACAAGAATGATCATGTTTTAGACACTATTCTGCATTTTAATTTTTCATTTAATGTATCATGGAACTTTTTTATATAGACAGTTGAAACACACCCCCATGTAAATAAACTATGAGTGTAGCCTATAACCTCTGCAGGGGCCTGGTGACTTCAGAGGAAAATGCTGGGGGCTTGTATTGAATTAAAAATAAGGTTACATAAAAATGTAATATGGATAGCAATCTAAATTTTGTATGATTTTGGGAACCTGTCAAGGACAAAAAATTGTAAAAGAAAGATCAATTTCTTAATGGAGAAATAAATAGTCACTTATCTGTCATTCATCAAACATTCACCAAGACATACATTGTTCAAGTTCTGGCTGGGGGCTTCATAGAGGACAAACCAAGAAGACAGATTGGGGTCTTTAAGTATTCTGTCCCTTTTCCCAGTGGCCCCCTCAGGAGGCAATTTTAACAACTACTCTGTCCACTGCCACAGCTGACAAGTAGAGCTACCTTCTCAACATTCTGACCCACTTCCCTTTCACCTGCTTAAATTCCTTCAGTGGTTCCCACTGTTCTAGGGGTCACATCCACCCCTTTTGCCAGGATGCCACCGCACTTGATATGCCTCATCCCTTGGCATGCTCCATCCCACCATAGGATATCAGTGTGGATCAAAACCCAGCTCTGCCTATGCGACTTTGAGACCTTCCTGGCCAGACCTCTCATTCTGGAAGGGGTATTATTCCCCTTTATTACCCTTCCCTGCTTGTTACTGTGCCATCTTTAAAGAATCTTTCATATATTCGTTTCCCCCACCCCCATCCCAGCTGGATCGGAGGTTAAGCATACATGTCTGTAATTGCTTGCCATTAGTTAGGGGGAATTAGTGCATCCTAGGCTAAGGAAGGGAGGACCAGGCTTTCAAGTCCCAGCTGTGGCTCCGTCCCTAAGAATGATCAATCATCTGTACGAGGGGCAACATGAGAACTTTTTATTCTGGGGATAGTGAGGACAACAGAATCCCCATGTAATATACTCTGCAAAGGACCCTTAAGTAGATGGAAGTGTGCTTCTTTCCTCCTCCATGGACTGAATATCACACCTTCCTGAGCCCTGGATATTGAGCTTGAAATGAGGACAGCTGCTAGTCATGAGTGAGTTGTTTCGTTCAGGGCAACTGGAACTTAATGTTGAGGTACGGATTGCTCAGGCATTAAGCCTCTGTCAGGCATCACCTTGTTGCCCTGACCTCCAAGTGTAACGCCCCTCTCTTGCATGGTCTGAAGAAGGCCCGAACCTGTCCTCTGCACCCAGAGCTTCTAGCTCTAGGGCCAGCCGACCAGACTGAGCATGCTCGAGGCCAGCCCGTGCTGTTGAGGGCCAGACATCTGGTCTTACAGAGTGCGCCCTCCGCAGGCCAGCGGGCAGGCGTCTTTGGCCTTGGGGCAGCTGCCTATTCTGAGAAGGTCTCTGTAGCGGACTGGGTGGAAAAGGGATAGAGGTGAGGAGAGCAGAACGGCGCCTCCCAGCCAGTCGCACAGCCTCCCCGCGGTGCGCAGGGCTGAGGGCGCTGAGCCAGCGCCAGGCGGGCGCGCTCTCCAGGCCGCGAGGGCGCGCTGTGAGACGCGGGGTCTGGCCGTGTCCCGAGAAGGAAGGAGAGAAGCAAGGGCGCCAGAGGTGAGCACAGCCCTGGCAGCGCGAGCCAGGACGTCAGCACAGGCTCTACGTGCTTCCTTTTTGGCAGTGGTGGTGGCGAATTGCCTTAAGTGATTCCCAATCTGGCCTCTTGGTGCCTTTCCCTGGGGCTGCCCGGAGGAGGCCAGGGCCCGGCAGCTGTTGCACGAGAGGGGGCAGCTGCGGAGTTCTGTAACCATAGCAACAGCATCAGCACCACGGCGGCAGCAGCCGCGGTGGCGGCTGCGGCGAGGGCAGCATCCTCTCGCTCCTCCTCCAGGCAGCAGTGCTGTGGAGACCTAAGATTCGGCTCGCAGGTGCCGTGCGCGACCTCCTCCTTGGTCCGCCCACCGCCGCTGCAAGTGTTGGCTGCGGGAGGAGAAAGGAACAGTGTGAGGGACCCAGAGCCAGAGCCGGGCCCTGAGAGGTGAGAGAGGGGAGCCCTGCAGTGGGAGACAGGTAGGTGAGAGCGCTCGGGATCGGCAGCTGCAAAACTCTTTCCTCTGTGGCAGTGACGTTTCTGCAAGCGCGGTTGCTAGTTGGATGGCTTTCTGCTACTGAACAGGGATTCTGCCGCGAAATCTGGTTCATTGCTCTCTGTTTGCCCATCTCTCTGCCCTCCGGTGTTGCCCCCACAGGGACAATTCTTGAGAGGGCACGAAGCATCGATGTGGGTGGGGAGATGCCGGGTTAATAAAGTGGTCCCCACACAAGTCCCACTTGGAGGCTAGGGGGAACACCTACAGATCCTGTCGATTCAGATGCTTTGATCCAGTGAACCCAGGACAGTCTCCCAGGAGGCGGTGCTGGGGTAGAAAGGGCAGTGGCAGCCTTTCTCTGTGGTCCAGTCTGACCAGGAGACCTTTTTTTCCCGTGCCTTGGCTGGGGCACAGGTTGTGTGTGTGAGTGTGAGTGTGTTTGTGTGTGTGTGTGTGTGTGTGTGTGTGTGTGTGTACTGCAGCTCAGCTATGACAGGGAAAAGGACCAGAGTGCAAACTGGCTCTTGATCTGTAAAGCCAGCTTCAAATTCAGCCAGCAAAGGGAATATTTAGACAAGGGAAATAGTATTTCCTACCAGCTTGGGCCCTGGGGGTGTCCCTGGAGTTTATCATGCTATTGTCAGTGGCTGTTGGGGATGGGGTGGGAACTGGAATCAAACTGCAAGCTAGCACTCAAGGCTTCCGTCTTCTCTTTCACTCACTTCTTTTCTAGCTTCTTCTCCACTGCATGGAGCAGTGACATCCTTTGCCCCTGGCCATTGGCAAAGTATCCCACTTTCCAGGCATTTAGGGCAGCTCACTTCAGTTCACTATGTGAACTACGGGGGCATTGTTTTCCATCAGGCTCTGATGCTCTTGATGCTAAGTAGTATTTCCCAGCCCAGCGTCCACACTGCATCTGCAGGTCAGAGAGGGGTTCAGAGGTTTGGATGTGATTATCACCTAGCTCAGTGGGAAGCAGAGCTGTATAATAGAAAGGAAGTATAGTCAGGTGAGTAATATGGGTCTGAAAGCTCTTGCATATAGGTAAGTAGGTCTCTGGGCAATTTCCAGAACGGGCAGCCCTTGACTTTGAAAGGGCTCTCCCTTTATATCCAGGCCCCAGGGGATGGTGGTGAGTCCTAGTTAAAAGGCTATGTTCTTTAATTGGGTTTTTAATTTATGGTGTAGTTATGTGACCCGAAGGGTAATGATTTGGCCAGCATTTCATCTGGGGATTTGTGTCATAATGAGGATGATATTACCATAATCTAGGCAGGTGGTTAGGTGTAAGGAAAAGAGGACAAGTTCTAGGAGTCAGAGACACTGACTGAACTTTGATTTCATCACACATCTGCTGTGTGACCTTGAATTGTCCCACCTTGCTGAGGTTTCAGATTTCTTTCTCTCATCTGTAGAATGGGACACTAACAAGTCTCAGAGTTTATTAGGTTCTTACAGTCATCAAATGGGATAGTGGAAAGGATGGAGGGCAATGGCTTTTTAAAAACCAATGTTCTATGCAAATAAAAGAAATTATTGTTATGTTGTAAAGAAACTTCATTTCTTGGATCAGCAAATCATTAAACAGCCAGCAGCTATGAAAAGGAAGTAGAAATTTTAGTGACACACAGCTGAAACACAGTAATTCAGTGATCAGGACAATATAAAGTGGCCTTTAGCAGGGGACAATGATGCATGTTACCCTGTTTGCTTATGAGAGCTGAAGGTCAAGAACTTTGCCTTTGAATGCAGTAATTGTCTACTCGGAAACAGTGAGTTCTGCTCATTTCAGGGTGGAATCGAGCATTTGGTAGTGGACACGGAGATTGACACACAGTAGGGCTGCTTTTTTGTGCTGATTAGACGTATACCCTGAGCATGCTGTGGGCTCCTCTAGAGCTGCCTTACCTTTGTCCATTTCTGTGCTATAATCTAGTGTTTACCAAATGTTTGCTCAGTTTGATGAAATTGACTGTGTGCTTACAGCTTGAGTTCCTTGGTGAGGGAATTGAAATTTCTGGAGGACCCAGAACTGTGCTGTATTATTCTCTGGTCTTTTATATCCCTACTGTTGCTCATGGTGGCCTCTCTGCAGAGGTGGATATTTCTCACTTCTTTCTTCACTTAGTGAGGCAGTTCAAAATCTCCTTCCCAGGTTCTCTCTCTTGCGCTTTCACAAGGCTTTGGGGTCTGCTTTGGGACAATCTGCACTGTGTCACTGTGTACACCCTGAGCCCTCTTTAGACACAGTCCTTCCTTAGGCCAGGGACCTCTACCTGTTCCATCTTGGCTGTGGCCCGGGACCTGGTGCAGTCCCTGTCATACTCAATACTGCTAGATGAGTGAGAAGGCCTTACCTGCAATCTCACCATCTGTGCAGAGAGAACATCACAAAGCCCAACCCTGATTTCTTCCTCGCTTTCAAGGAGTGTGGGAAACCTGGTGTTTGTGGGGTTGCTATGCGTCATTTAGGGTCAGTTCATTGAAGCACAAAGGAATACAGAAACACATACTTTGCTTCAAAATGCTGTTTGTTGAAGCGAGCACTTTCAGATAGCTGTAATCTGGTGCTGAACAGGTTTCATTTAGCATTTGTTGAGAGCCTCTGATGGAGTGTTTCAATTTACTAATTGATTTTATTAATACAAGTTTGAAGTACCTGATGTTTATATTCAACTTAAAGAGTAGATGCATGTACTTAACATAAATTGATTCTTTTAAATTTCTTTCTCTGCATCTGTAGATGCACTTCCCCATTTTTATTATTTTTGCTGTTATTTTTTTACTTCATGCTGTGACATGTAACGATTACATTTACTGTGGACAGTTGGTATGTGTACATGACCAATCTTACGTTATTTTAAGTCCCCTTTCCTTCCCCTCCTCCCCTCACCCTCAATCCCTTGGTCTTCTTTCCATTCTCAAAGATCTATCTCTTTGTTTCCTTCTAACACTGTTTTACTTTGCCCTTCATTTGTACTTTGGATTACTCAAATGCAAGAAATTATATGGTACTTAAGTTTGCATGCCTGATTTATTTCATTTATCATTATGTTTTCAAGATGTATCCATTTCCCTACAAATGACTTGGATTTACCCTTCTTTGTAGCTGAGTAGTATTTCATTATGTATGGATACCACATTTTCTTTATCATTCACCTCTTGTTGGACAGATAGGCTACTTCCATGATTTGGTTATTATGAGTTGTGACTCTGTAAGCATTGGTACACATGTATCACTGTGATATGATATCTTCAGGTCTTTTGGAAGCTACCTAGAAGGGGGATAGCTGGGTCAAATGGAATTTCTATTTTTAGGTTTTTGAGAAATTTCCATACTGATTCCATAATGGTTGTACCAATTTATATTTCCGCCAACAGTGTAGAAGGGTCCCTTTCTCACTGCAGCCATGCCAGTGTTTGTTATTATTTGATTTCTTCATGATTGACATTCTTTCTGGTGTATGATGAAATGCTAGTATGTCGTAATTTACATTTCTTTAATAGTCAGAGATGCTGAACATTTTTCACATGTTTATTGGTCATTTGTACTTTTTTTACTGAGAAGTGTCTATTCATTTCACTTGTCCATTTTTACTAGGTCTTTTATTTTGGGGAGGGCAATTTTTTTGTTTTTTATATGTTCCATATAGTAGACCTCTATCTCAGGAATGGCTATACATTTTTTTCCATTCCGAAAATTGCCACTTCACTCTGTTGATTGCTTCTTTATTGGTTGTTTCTTTTGCTGTGATGTACTATTTTGGCCTTAAAATGTATTTCTCTCTCTTGAATTTTGTTCCTCAATTCAGCTCTCATCTAATGGAAAAACACATATCTTGGCTTAGGAAGGCCTAATTCAGACACAGTTCTAACAAGACCAGGAATTGGGGTACTTGATCTTCTTGTTCCTCAGTGTTCTCAGTTGTAAAATGTGATTGGTTTTGCTCCACTTAAAGGGGTTCTGAGTGCTGTAAATGAATTACTAGCTATATAGTAAAAAGCTTTTCATAAACTGCACAATATTATACCCAAGAAAATTCTTTCTTTTATTTCATTTTTGTTCTAGAGAATGAGCAAAATCTTTTTGCTAATTACATGGCATGTGACAAGTTGGGCTTCAACCCTGACTCCTCCACTTCTTGTCCCTGTGTCACCTTCAGCAAATCATCTTGCTTCCTCAGCCATTTGCCTTATTTGCATAATATTATAATGACAGCTACCTTTCCAGATAGTTCTGGGTACATATACATAAAAAGTGCCATGTAATTTCTATGTGATAGATTCAGTTGCCAATAATAGAAAGTTCTAGCATTTTTAAAATACTCAAAATACATTTCCTTCCCATATTTTACATTTTATATTTTATCTCTCCCTATGAGAGAGATATGGGGAGAGAGAGAGAGAGAGACAGAGACAGAGATAGAGGCAGAAAGAGAGACAGAGGCAGGGAGACAGTGAGAATGTGAAAAAATATGTAGCAGTAGCTCATCTACTTTTTGTTGGTATGTGTGATTATTAGTACGGAGAACAAGAAACTAAAGGTTTAGATTCAGGGACTGAGTCTGTATCTGACACTTGTTTCAGACTGTTGATCTCCAGTCTGAATTTCAGTTTATTCATATTTTAATGTCCTGAATGATTGCAGTGGTCCTGCCTAGCTCTCTTCACCTCACAGAGGTTACATTGATGGTCTTTCTTCACTTTTACCTCAAGGCTCTTAGTCAGTACAAAACTACATGCTCCAGTATGCTCATTGTATACCCATACTCCATCATCAAATTTCTCTTCTTTTTGAATTTTTTTAGACTATAGGCTAGTATGTCCAAGATGATCCTGGCACTTAGGATGTTGCTTAATGCTTCTTCCACCCCTTCTCCAAGCCTAATTTTTATCTGTCCCCAGACAAGACGTTCTCTGTTTTGTTCAACCTGGCAATTCTCTTTTATTCAACGTACAATAAACTATATATATGAA